TATTCATTCCTATGAGACTTGGTTAAAGTGATTTGTAGTTCCTTGTGTTGCCATGGTAACAGATGACAGGAGTCTGCATTAATAAAGCTATGTACAATAACACATGACTCATTTAAACTTTGAATAACATTTCTATATTAAAGTATGTTGAAACAGTTGTGTCTAAAATGTTGTTAAATGTTGTTGCTAAGCATGTTGCCATGGTAACGGAGAACACAATATCAAGTTAATACAAGACTCCTGGGACCAAGCAGGTTGAATTGATGTACCATATGTGTGGGTGCGCATTTCCTTTTAGGCAGAAGACGACTGGAAACTCTCAGCCAATGAGAGAGCAGCGAAGGAGGAGGGGGCAGTTCCTGCCTTCTGACTAGTGTTAAAATGTCAGGTATAGTTGAACCCACATCTTTTTTATGTGTGAATTCAATGCCGTTCGGCGAGTCTCCAATAAAAACTTGGGCATCTTACTGTAAAAAAATACCATTAATGTAAAAAATAAACTCTAAAACAACTATGTTCACATCCAGAATCGAACCCAGGTCCGACATCTTACTAGGCAAGCTTAAGCACCAGTGACACCCTTTGTATCTGTAACATTTATATCCTTGATGACAGCTGAAACAACGTTCAAAGAACGGTTCGGAGCAAAAATGGCTATTTTGTTGCTAATTTGCAGGAAATATCTAGAAGAAAGTTCCACAGAAAGTAGCTAAGGGTCCTCAGAAATGTAGCTAGCTTTGTCACTAGGCGTTAGGAACAGCGACAAAGTGGCACTGCCTCTCTCTCTGCTGCTAAAGCTACGGATAGCAAATGCTACGGGCGATGCCTGAGTGTGAACGTGCATGAAGCAGCCTGCTCGACCCGAGCATCTCTCTTTTTCTGTGATTTTATATAAAAACAGGCAATCACAGTAAAAATGCCAGGGCTCATTCTACAGGACCAGGGCATTGCAGGAGAATGTATGAAGAAGACATTTATTATTTCTACATATGTTTTGGCTGTCACACTTCCATAATGCCCCTTTAAAGTCCAGGAAAAAGTCTTTTCTGCTATTTTGGGTAAAAAATGTTGTCTTTTGTTTTTGTTTGTACTTCGTGAAGAAAATGACACCAAAATAATAATGAAACGTAACAGATAAAATCCGTAAATTAGTTGCGTTTTTCAACCACCTTTCAAACACGAATCAATCTAAATTTTCTCACGTTTTTCTTTTACATTCGTGTCACCGGCTCGGGTGACAGACAAACACACACTTGTGTCAAACTGTTCCGTCGTTTTGGTTTTTATTTGTGTGCTCCCCATCCCTCTACATGCCGTGACCCTCCTTCTCGCCCCACATCATCTGGTTACCACGGTAACGGCTCAGACATTTCTGAGCCATTGCCGAGACAGTGGGGAGGGGGCGGAGTCAGCCAGCCTGTGAGGCTCAGGTGATTATTCTTATCAGTCGCCAATGCTGCACACCTCCTTTTCCCCTCCATCCATCCCTCCATCTGAGGACACCTCCCTGGTTCTGCTGGACCCGTGTTTTTCTGGTCTCAGCAGAAAGAAAAGGGTAAAGAGGAATTATGCACACGCCTCTTTTTTTAGATAAGGTTCTGAATCTGTGTCGGAAGCAGTGATCCAAACACAGCCAACGGAAAAACACAACAAAAGGTTTTGTTCTTGAGGAGGTGGAGGGGAGTGCTTCCTAATTATGTCTGAGATAATGAAACAGAAATCAGCGCCAAGCTGTTTGATTAATCAACAGCAAACCTGCAGCGGCAGGAGAGTTGATCCATAGTATTCCTTAGATTCTGGAGCATGCTCTTCCCTCTGATGTTGTCAGCGTGGTGACTGTCCGTTTCCTGTTTTTACTCCTCAGCTTCCACTTCAGGAGATCAGAGGCATGGAGTAACTCTCAGAGACGAGTAATCTCACACCTCGCTGCGTTAATCTCCAATCATAAAGGTGCCATTCTCTGGCATACACAGATTTATCAATGCCCCATCAGGCGGAGTTGGACGATCAAACGCTGAGGGAGAGAGGATGAAGGGCTGATGAAGAAGTGAGAGGGTGAAATCAGCTAAATCCTAAATCACATTATGAAAATCTGCTGCCCTCAGATGGAGCTCATCGAACGCACGAGATTAGGATCTCCCTTGAACTCGATCTAAGTGAGGTCTGTGATCACACACACACACACACACAGAGGGGAGTATGTTGGGATGGTAAACCTGGGGGGGGGGGGGGTAGTGAAGCACCATTTAAAGGCATACTTCAGACGTTCTGTCGTGTGTTACTGTGTGGAGTTATAAAGGATTCCCTATCCTACACGCTGCTCCCAGAACAGCATCTGCTCAGATAAACAGAGATTACATCCTTCAGGACTGATGAGATGACAGCTGGTCTAAGTCAAGACCAAAGTGTGTCTCTGTCATCAGAATTCAGCCTCAAGACTCTGTTTCAGAATCTTGCAAAAGATTTAGTGGTTGTTTATAAATGTAAACACGTTTGTAAACATAAACAATTACGACATGTCAATGAGCAGGACTTTCATCCTTCTGCGCCTTTGCATCTCAAACTCTGGTTCCATAAACACCCCAAAGCAGCTCCTGAAACCGACCGTCTGAGAGGCTTTATCTAATTTTATTTTAAAGATCTGAAACAAAAGCTGCTTATGTGTGACTGTTTTCCTCCACTGTGATCAAGTTCAGATCATAGAGTTACTTTCCTGCTCCTTCCAACTATAAAGCATCTTATCGTTGGTGCAAAATCACAGAAACATGCAGAATCCTGCCGGTGTCTGAGTCATGAACTGGGTCTTAAAGGTGTGGTTCACTTATTTAATTAACATTTGCTGTGGTCTCTGGTAGGAAAAAATGCCTTGCAAGCCGTACTCAGGGCAAAAAAACGTCCAGAATTTCTTGGATCATCACAGACAAGTCTGCTGCTGAACAGAGTATCTGCAGACAACAGGATCTGATGCCTTACTTCCTGATGTGTGGACATCTCTCCTCTGATTGGCTAACAGCAACACAACTCTACCACTGACTCTGTCTGCTCTGCAATGTTGATGTTTTAGCTCCACAAATAACACAAGCCTGGAGGAGTTCTGCTGTGTGGTGGAGTTGCCAATGCTAACGGTTAGCTTCTACTAGCAGAGACGTTCTCTGCTGTTTCCTGGACGCTAAACCAACAACAACCTTCCCCGTCGTGAGCCAAGATGGGTGAGTCCATGAATATTAAGTGACAGTGTGGCGTAGATCTGTCAGGATTTTCTAATCCTAGAGTTTCACCGTCTGTTTTTTATCAGAAGCTAATGCAGGAGATAGGTGTAGGAGACTATTTTCATGTTCAGCCTGCATGAGACACTCAGAGTGACCCATTAGAATCAGAGATCATCAATAACCCTCCCACTGTCCTAATGGGTGTGGCCCCACAAGGAAAGTTGACCATTGAGCAGGGTCCACGTGGCAGGGGTGAGGAGTGAGCACCACCTCACCCCTGCCACGTGGACCTCAAGGGAAAAACCATCAACCCTGCTCAATGGTCAACGTTCCTCGCGGGGTCACCCATAAAGACAGTGGGAGGCTTAAATAAATCGGTTTTCAGTGAACCAAATCTTTAACCCTTTTAAAGGCGTTGCAAAGACGTTAAACCCAACCTACCCGGTTACTCCACGTATTTCATGAGCATTTTTAAACTCAGAAGTACCCCTGAAGGACTTAGTTGTTTGTCCTTTTATCCAAACTTATTTTGAGCCTGAGAGGGTTAAAGTCATGTGTTAAGTGTGTTTACATGAGTTATATTTAGATAAAATCCTGAAATAAACAAAGCAAATGGTTGCTTATATATAAAAGCAGCAGCAAGTAGTTGTGGGAATCAACTGTTCAGTCCTGCCAGGAAAAATATTTACTTCATGTAAAATGAAACGGTTTTAGTTCAGAGACAATCATGTCTTTCTTTCTCTCAGCCTGTCCTCCTCTCTCTCTCTCTTTCTCTCTCTCTCTCTCTCTCTCTCTCTCTCACACACACACACACACACACACACACACACACACACACACACACACACACACACACACACACCTCCTCTGATAAGTAACCTCATCAGCTCCATAAGTGTCAGAAATGTCTGCTCGGGTCTGCTCCGATGGTGCTTTCATCCACACGCAGGCCGACACCAGAACGTGGCACAACTTAACATTCTGCAAACATAACCTGACAAACTGGTTTTGACTGAAATGCCTTATGAGTCCAGAGATCACGCTGCGGAAACCAGCTTTCGCAGAGAACTGCAGCTCCTCTGTTTTGCCTCTCAGAAGCAGCAGAGGGGAAAAACGGTTCGGGGATCAAAAACGTCAATGCTCAGTTTCAAAGCACAGTTTGGTACCTGAAGTGGGGTCAGAACTCCCTCATCTGGCTGAGGAAGCAGCTCTGGTTACAGATGTTTTCGCTGTGCAGGCGAGGTAAAAGAGTGTGTTCACAAAGAACAAACTAAGAGGCCTTTTACGTTCCCTTTGCAACATGGAGCTCTTAGTGGTGCTAATCTCTCCCAGGAAGTTAAATCTCACATTTTAATTGTAAAAACAACTAACCAGGTGACTATTTACACCAGAATAATCAGTCCTACTCATCCACATAAAACATGAAACTTCAGTTTTCGTTTTTAGCTTTTTTCTGCATCCAGTGATTAAAAAGTGTCCACGTGCATAAAGCATGTCGTTTTGGTCCGAGTGGATAAAGGCACATGAAAGAAAGGAAAGAAGGCGCTGTCAGAGTCTAAAAGCCTGAGAAAATAAATGAACTGAACATCTGAGAGCAGCAGAGAGACAAACACACAGCACAGAACGATTCTGGCGTCTGTGAGAAAGAGCTCTCTTCCCTCCTAAAGACTGACTGCTCAGCTCAGATCAAACAAGGTGGACCACGCCATAATTACCTGAGGGGTCAGAAGAGGCACATGCAGCAGGAAAAGGGTTAATAGGAAGGAGGCGAAGGTGAGGAGGAGTTCAGACCTGTTTCCTGGAGGAGACGGCGCTCCTGGGTCGACCTTGGCGACCTGTCCTAGCCGCCTCTGAGGGGTCCTGGCCGCTCCTGCGTAGCGTGGTGGCGCTGGTGTCGGTGGGCAGAGGGCTGGAGGAAGAGGAGCGGCGTGTCAGAGGGGATCGATCGGATAATCAGGTGGGATTAAAAAATATATTTAGATTACATGAAAGTACACAGCTCAGTGCAAACAACCAAAATCATACAGATTTATAATTACGTGCATTTTGTTAAGTTTTATCCTCTTTTGCCTTTTTAGGGCCATAAATGTGGATAGAAATCTGCATGCCTGGAATTTCTTCAAAAAGTAGAAAGATTGTTGAAAAGTTTGTAAATCTGTAGAAATACTTTGCATGTTCAGTTCTGACTATGTTAAAAAAAAGTTCTCTTTTGGTTCTTATAAAGGAGTGGATCCGCTGCTCCTCCACATCAAGGGGACCCAGTTGAGGTGGTTCGGGCATCTAGTTAGGATGCCTCCTGGACGTCTCCCTGGTGAGGTTTTCCGGTCACGTCTAACCAGGAGGAGACTTAAAAGAAGACCCAGGACATGCGGGAGGGACTACAGCTCTTGGCTGGCCAGGGAACGCCTTGGGATTCCCCCGGAGGAGCTGGTCCAAGAGGCTGGGGAGAGGGAAGGCTGGGCCTCCCTGCTAAGGCTGCTGCCCCATGACCCGACCCCACATAAGCAGAAGAGGATGGATGGATGGATGGATGGATGATTTTTAGAAAATGTATAAAATACCCCACAAAGCTCCCTCGTTTGTCAGAAGGAGCTATATTCAAACTGCATGCAGAAGTGGCCAAAATACATCTTTTTTTTTTTTTTTTTTTTTTACTCATAACTGATTTCAGAGTCAGATGACTCCAAAGCGCTTTACACTTTACACTACAGGGTATCATTTGCTCTTTTCTGAACAGCACAAATCTGACCCAGGTCAAATTGTTTGTGGTCTTGAATCAGATGCCATGTTTTTCATGTAAGATGTCTATTCTGCTGTGGAAGATCAGATGCGAATAAACTTTCCTTCACTTGATTGTGGATTGTATGGAGAGAAAACAGACTCAAATGATCTGAGTGAGAAACACAATTTGTAACTTGTAACTTGCTATTATTCATGCACATAGTAAAAATGCATAAATCCCTCAATACATGGCAACAAACCTTCATTTACACACAGATCCATTTCTAATGAAGTGCTGAACATACACTGATCTTTTGAGCCTATTTTCTCTCCATAGTTCTTTCTAATTCATTTGAACAACTTTAGAATTGATGTGCTGCACACACGCTGCATGGGTCACCTTAAGGCTGTGCGTGGTCACATGAACAACCTCTCAGAAAAATCAGACCTCGGGAAGAAATCAGTACTCAGTGTATGAACAACTCCATGAAGGCATCAGGTGAAACTCTCCTGGAGGCTTGTACACTGCTACCAACCACTTTACTGTCTCCCTCTCCTGATATTAACTTTTTACTTTCTTTAACATAAAATGTGCTAGTACTAGTTCATCTGTTAAATTAATTCACTCAGATTAGGACAACAAAGTAAACTTTGTTCAGCAATTGAATCTCTACTGAGAAATTGCAACACATGAAAACACTACTTGGTACAAATGTTGTGTGTGTGTGTGTGTGTGTGTGTGTGTGTGTGTGTGTGTGTGTGTGTGTGTGTGTGTGTGTGTGTGTGTGTGTGTGTGTGTGTGTGTGTGTGTGTGTGTGTGTGTGTGTGTGTGTGTGTGTGTGTGTGTGTGTGTGTGTGTGTGTGTCTGCTCCGCCTTCTCCATCCCCAGTGAGTCGTGGTGGATGGCTGCTTATACTGAGCCAGGATCCTCTGGAGGTTTCTCCCTGTTAAAAAGGAGTTTTCCTCTCCACTGTCGCTGCATGCTTGCTTAGTTTGAGGACTGCTGTAAAGACTCTGACACTAGTCAGTAGGTCGATGCAGCCTGCTGGGTTCCTTATATAGGAAACTTTTTTTTTTGTGTTTATTTATTGAACTTTTACGATATTATCAACAAAACTGAACAAACCACACAAAACACATTAATAAACCGAGTTGAATTTATTCGTTCAGAGACTGTTTGTATTCTAACTTTTGCTGTTTGTTGAGTGATCCTGCTCATACCTGAGGTAGAGGACGCGTGCTATCAGGGCGTAGAGCACAATGGCGAGCAGCAGTGGGATGACGTAAAAGAAGGCGAAGTCGATGAGGTAGATGGGTAGGTAGAGATCTCGCTTCACCTTGTATCCACACTGCGTGTGTCCATCCTGGTCCGCCTGAATGTCACAGACATGATAGAGGTTGTAATAAAGCAGACGGCGGCGCTGGGAGCGGCGTGTAATGATGGCTCACATCTCAACATAATGGCACTGCACTCAGACCATGCTAGGAGCTATTTAACAGCCTGTAATTTAAGCAGCATTTGAACAAAAAAAGGTCCTGGAAATCATAAATGTGTCAGTCATCAGCTGGTGACTCCTCCGTTTACTGAGACACTCTTCAGTCCCTGTAATAGCCGGGTAGAGGGAAAACAACTCAGCGGTGTAAAGCACACCGGTATTCTGCCACATTAACCTGCAATTTGTGTGTTTCTTTGTCATTTCTGAGACAAATATCAGAAACATCCCAAACAGCTGTTTGTGATGCTAAACATCGGGTTTGTAGTGAATAAAGTCGATTTATAAACATCACGTTGTAGATCGGGAGTCACCAAAGTCTGGGTCGGGTTTGTTGTGGTCCAGAAATGTTCCACAGAAATGGAATTAACCCTTTAAATACCACACTGAGATTTAAAAGCAACTTTTTTGTTTTTTAATTTTTCTTTGGTGTAGAAATATGCTGAAACAAGTGAGTTATTACTAGTACTTTAGTTTAGTCTAGTTTCAGAAATCCTCACCATGAATGCTTGATTCGGAAATCTAAATAAAAACAAGATATTAGCTAGATAATCACACACACACACACACACACACACACACACCAGTTGTTGTGAGTTTTTTTTATCTGTGAGCAGCAGCGATCTGAGCTGTTAAACAATCTCGGGTTGTTAGTTTCTGATGAGCGACTCAATGCCAAACACCTGAGTCCCAACCTGTCGCCTCTGTGGCGTCAGACTATCATTGATTGGAAAAGTGTCGCTGCACCTGATCTGATCTAATCAATTCCAGACGCTGATGAATGACAGGAGGAGCTGCGATAACCAACCAGATATTTGGTTTTTATTATTGTTTCTATTTAAATTAGAACAAATAAATGGACCAGAAGGTTCTGCAGGGCAACTTTTAACGCTAGAAGTTTCTGAAGAGGTTCTGCATGCAGGAACTGTCAAGATCACTAAACTTCACCATCGTCTTAGTAAAAACACAAATGATAAAAGAGGGTTAAAGAAATGTTAAAACTGCTGCCAGTGACACATTGTGGTCACCATGGTAACAGATCACAATCAGAAATACTTTATTGATCTCAGTGAAACACTGTGTAAATAATGTATAGCAACTATATTCTATTGCTACTCGTGATTCATTAAACTCTTCATGATGCTCCCTAAAGTCTACCTGAGTTTTAGAGGTCCAAAAGGGGTGGAGCCTGTTAGTTTTAATGGCATCATGCCTCGCAGATTTTCGTTTATTTGTTTATTTATTGTGTAGAATGTCCTGCTTCCATAAATCACAGCATGTTCTTCCTGAATGAGCCAAAAACTTTGATGTATAATTAATATGTTTCTAAAATTCACCTGATTATTGACAGAGTAGAAACCAACCCCTGGTGCACTAAGGGTTACAGGTTATTTAGGGCAACCCTAAGCCTTCATGACTGAATATTAAAGGGACCTTACGAAGTTTTGAATTTTTATGCTCGCGAGTGCCCCCTCAGGCCAAAAGTGTAACGGCCGCTTCAATAGTAGGCTCGTGCACAAGGCGTGCATGCTGTACGTGCACACTCCTTAACGAAAATAACAGCTGAGACAGTCCCTTGTGTGTGTGTGTGTGTGTGGGGGGGGGGGGGGGGGGACAGAGGACAGGAGAACGCGCAGCTAATTAATGAAATAATGTGGTTCTGTACCTTTCTCTTCAGCACAGCCGACAAAGGTTTATGATGGGTCAGTCCTCCTGCATGCTCAGATCATTCCCTTCCCTTGCTTGAAAAATTTTTTCAAAATGAAAGTTGAACCCACATCCTTTTTATTCGTGAATTCAACGCCGTTCGGCGAGTCTCAAATAAAAATTTGGGCGTCTTACTGTAAAAAAAATATACCATTAATGTAAAAAAGAAACCCTAAATGAACTACGTTCACATCCATAATCGAACCCTGGTCTTCTGCATGGGAGTCTAACGTCTTACTAGGTGAGCTAAAGCACCAGTAACATCCTTTGTATCTGTAACATTTATATCAAAGAACGGTTCGGAGCGAAAATGGCTATTTTGTTGCTAATTTGCAGGAAATATCTAAAAGAAAGTTCTACAGAAAGTAGTTAAGGTCCTCAGAAATGTAGCTAGCTTTGTCACTAGGCGTTAGGAACAGCGACAAAGTGGCACTGCCTCTCTCTCTGCTGCTAAAGCTACGGATAGCAAATGCTACGGGCGATGCCTGAGCGTGAACGCGCATGAAGCAGCCTGCTCGACCCGAGCATCTCTCTTTTTCTGTGATTTTACAGAAAAACAGGCAATCACGGTAAAAACGCCAGGGCTCATTCTACAGGACCAGGGCATTGCAGGAGAATGTATGAAGAAGACATTTATTATTTCTATACATGTTTTAGCTGTCAAACTTCCATAATGCCCCTTTAACTAGCAGTCAGCTGGTTGATTTACTGATTAATTGAATGAAATGTTTGTAAAAATGTTGAAAATTGAATCATCGATCTTTAAGGTCTTTATATAAGATACGATTCTGTTCTTTTTTGATCCAAACTCAGCCATTAAAACAAAATTTTGCACTTTTTGTCCTCTGTGGAAAACATCTGATGCAGCTGAAGTGATTCCTTTCTCACCTGAATATCCACCAGGAAGAACCACAGCATGCAGTAGATGCAGGTAAAGATCCAAACGCCGGCGATGATCCGCTTGGCGCGGGACACCGTGCACACGGTCTGGGCCTTCATGGGATGGCAGATAGCGATGTACCTGCATGTGACACAAGATCATTATTCTGCATGACAAAAGTAGGCAGGTCAAAGTGCAACAGAACAGAACTCTTGGGCGGTTCTAACGGGCCGTAAAACGTTGCCTCGGTCATTCTTGAACTGTCCAGAGAGGTCAGCTGGTTGTGTGGAAGTCTGAGGATTTTGTTTAATCTGTGGGCTTCCTGGAGAACGAGCACTGACTGATTGGATGTGTGAAATTATTCTGAGTTTAATCATGATTCAGCAGAACCAGAACCTGTCAGCAAAAGAACAACCTGAAGTTCAGAGATCTTCAAGTACATATGTTTTTTATTTGGGTGTTTAAAATAATTGAGGAAAGCTTGGAAGCTTAAACTTCTATCAGATTAACCAGGAAGCTTTTAGGTCTTAACAAAGGAGAGAAAACCAATCTGGTTTAGATGAGATGGAGTTCTTTATTCTACCTGAACATCATTTATTACCGGGTTTGGGACAGATGTGTACTGAGTTCCCACACGGACGCGAAACAGTGATGGACTTTAGCCAGAGACACAAGCGTCTGTGCCCTTCGAAGAACCCGTCCTACCTGGCCCGTATTGGCAGAGTCCGGGTCCTTGGTTTACCGGGAAGACCGGTAGTGAACAACTGTAAAATTTGACAGTCTAGCCTTCAGATTTCCACCCTTACCTTGGCGTACATCCTGTCACCTAGCAACTGTGACATGGCTATGTTAAAACTAGGCTTAGTGCCATCTGAGGTTTTTAGTAGGGATGTCCCGATCAGGTTTTTTTGCCCTCGAGTCCGAGTCCGAGCCATTTGATTTTGAGAATCTGCCGATACCGAGTCCCAATTCGATTCTTTCGATACATAAAAAAAAGAAAAGGAAGAAACAGTTCCAGAATGTTCCTTATTTTTTATTTGATTACCTTTTTATTTTAACGTTTAACAACAGATCACTTCTGTGAGGTAGCTTGAACAATCAAGTAATAAATAACATAAATTCTTCAATTTTGGACTTTATTGCAAATATTGAAAGTCTAATATAAAAACAGATAGCACTTCAACTTAAAATGCCTGGCAGGGGTCTATTTTGCCTCGGCCCCCAAAATGCTTGGATACGCCCCTGGGCATGGGACGGAGTTTTGAAGATGATCTGAATTGTATCAACTATATAAAAACTACATGCTGATAAATTATTGCTTTATACAGGTACAAACGTGTAGTGGGATCAATCTACCTACATTTTATTTTTAAGAACTTTGTTTATTTTTCCTTGGTTTTTATTTTCCTGTCTTCCTGTCCTGTCTGTCTCTGATCTTCCTGCATCTCCCAGTCCTCCAGAAAAACTCCTGCCTGCTTCCTTCTTTTTCACCCCACAAGTAACTTTTTAACTAGCAGATCAAATTGATCTACTGACTGCAAAAAAGCGGAGTGTGCGCCGCGCTGCCCGGCTGTGCCAGTGACGTGCGCTGCAGCGCGGTCCACACGTCATGCTCAAATACAGACAGAACTTACCAGAGAGAAAATGAACGGACACGAACGACTGTGTGTTAACCCCCAGAAACCCAAATTTAGAAAACAACTGCAAAATCTTTTTTTAACCTTTCACGTGTTGTTCTAGGAGGCCAGATAAACGGGCCTATTTACACATTTTAACAGCCAATAATGTTGCACAACTGAACAATAGGACCTATTAGCAATATAAAGGTGGTTTTAAAAAGAAAAAAAAATGGGGAAGGTTTATTTTTGTAGACTTAAATCTGATGTTGTAATATTACAACCGTGGGTTTCTTAATTGTATATTTTTGGTGACGCCACTTAGAAACTTAGAAAATGTTACTGTGGCCGAGTGCAGAACACAGCTGGAGTTCATGAATGATCAGCGGTCTGCCTGCCGCTCTGCCCAAAAGAATCCCCGCTACTCTGAGTCCATGTAAATAATACAATAAAGGTAGAAACTGGATCTTTTTTGTGCTCCTTCTGGGTGTGTAAGTTAAGGGCATCAGGGGAGCCTGACAACCTTTAAGGAGAACCAAGTTGCTCTCCTGTAATTTGAACCCAGTATCCGAGTCCGGATCGGGAAGTAAAGCCAGAGTCCCAATCAGTCTGAAACCACGTGATCGGGCCGATTTCCGATCATGTGATCGGATCGGGACATCCCTAGTTTGTAGTTTAAATGTTTTGTTTTCTGACAACATTGGGGCGATGGTGGCAGAGGAATCAAGTGTCTGCCTCGTTATCGGAAGGTTGAAGGTTCGGGCCCCACTCAGTCTGTTGCTGTCGTTGTGTCCTTGAGCAAGACACTTACTACAATGCCTGCTGCTGGTGGTCAGAGGGATGGGTGACAACCTCGCATCAGCAAGTGTGCCCCATGGCAGCTGTGGCTACAGCTCATCATCGTGTGTGAAAGGGTGAATGACTGAATGTGTTGTAACTTACAACTACATTCATCCTTTCTAGTGATAGGTACCAAATTCAGTACTTTTTAAGGTACCGACCGAATTCCATAGTACCGACTGAGCACCGATTCACGTCATTTGAAATGGTGCCTCGTTTCGGTACCCGTCCTTCATAAGGAGAACTTGCCTAGACAGCTGCGCAAGAGTGTTACGTCGGTCGCTGCAAGCGAGTTGTAAACAGAGCAGCATAGTAGAAATAACGCATGCTAACGCCTGGGTCCACTTCACTAAAGCCCCCTTCAGACAGGCCATGAAAAACGGAAATGTTCGGGACTCTGTCCATAAGACCTTTGTGTCTGAATACAAACATCCGGATAACCTTTTCCGTAATTAAACTGTACGAAGCCCCTAGTAACAGGACCGGACTTGTCACGGACAGGGTGGCTGCTTCAGACTGGTGAGGTCAGTTCCGGACAGGGAGGAGGGGAACGGGGGACGCTGTGCGCACGCAGCGCAGCTAGATAGCTCGTTCCTGTAGCATGCGGCGAACCACAGCAGCTCGCCTCCTACGGTACCGTCTCCTAGACTCGCGACGGAGCGCTTCACACCGCTTCCGTGATTCCTTTATCAACCATTGAGCTTCATCATCCAGGTCTCTTATGCGTCTTCGTGTGCGCAGAATTATGCTTAACATAAGTCCGATCAGTGAGAGGAATTATATCTCTTCGTCTGCCATGTTTGACTGAATAGCTTTGTTTGGGTAAATGACGCATGTACAGGTGCTGGCCAGTAAATTAGAATATCATCAAAAGGTTGAAAATATTTCAGTAATTCCATTCAAAACGTGAAACTTGTACATTATATTCATGCAATGCACACAGACCAATGTATTTCCGATGTTTATTACGTTTAATTTTGATATTTATAGGTGACAACCAATGAAAACATCAAATCTGGTATCTCAGACAATTAGAATATTCTAAAGGCCAATGAAAAAATGTTTGTTTCTCTAATGTTGGCCAACTGAAAAGAATGAACATGAAAAGAATGTGCATGTATAGCACTCAATACTTAGTCGGGGCTCCTTTTGCCTCAATAACTGCAGTAATGCGGCGTGGCATGGACTCGATCAGTCTGTGGCACTGCTCAGGTGTTATGAGAGCCCAGGTTGCTCTGATAGTCGTCTTCAGCTCCTCTGCATTGTTGGGTCTAGCGTATTGCATCCTCCGCTTCACAATACCCCATAGATTTTCTATGGGGTTAAGGTCAGGCGAGTTTGCTGGCCAATCAAGGACAGGGATACCATGGTCCTTGAACCAGGTGCTGGTGGTTTTGGCACTGTGTGCAGGTGCCAAGTCCTGTTGAAAGGTGAAGTCTGCATCCCCATAAAGTTGGTCAGCAGCAGGAAGCATGAAGTGCTCTAAAACTTCCTGGTAGACGGCTGCATTGACCCTGGACCTCAGGAAACAGAGTGGGCCAACACCGGCAGATGACATGGCACCCCACACCATCACTGACGGTGGAAACTTTACACTGGACCTCATGCAACGTGGATTCTGTGCTTCTCCGCTCTTCCTCCAGACTCTGGGTCCTTGATTTCCAAAGGAAATGCAGAACTTGCTTTCATCAGAAAACATAACTTTGGACCACTCAGCATCAGTCCAGTCCTTTTTGTCCTTGGCCCAGGCGAGACGCTTCTTGCGCTGTTTCTTGTTCAAGAGTGGCTTGACACACGGAATGCGACACCTGAATCCCATGTCTTTCATGAGTCTCCTCGTGGTGGTTCTTGAAGCGCTGACTCCAGCTGCAGTCCACTCTTTGTGGATCTCCCCCACATTTTTGAATGGGTTTGTCGTCACAATTCTCTGCAGGGTGCGGTTATCCCTAGAGCTTGTACACTTTTTTCTACCACATTTTTTCCGTCCCTTCGCCTGTCTGTTAATGTGCTTGGACACAGAGCTCTGCGAACAGCCAGCTTCTTTAGCAATCACCTTTTGTGTCTTGCCCTCCTTGTGCAAGGTGTCAATGATTGTCTTTTGGACAGCTGTTAAGTCAGAAGTCTTCCCCATGATTGTGGTGCCTTCAAAACAAGACTGAGGGACCTTTTAAAGGCCTTTGCAGGTGTTTTGAGTAAATCAGCTGATTAGAGTGGCAGCAGGTGTCTTCTATATTCAGCCTTTTCAGAATATTCTAATTTTTTGAGATACCAAATTTGGAGTTTTCATTAGTTGTCACTTATGAATATCAAATTTAAATGTAATGAACATTGGAAATACATTGGTCTGTGTGCATTGCATGAATATAATGTACAAGTTTCACGTTTTGAATGGAATTACTGAAATATTTTCAACCTTTTGATGATATTCTAATTTACTGGCCAGCACCTGTATGCCCGCCGCACAATCCGGGTACAGCCTTCCCACCCCCTCTCCCTCGGACATCTGGAACTTTTCCCTGCTGTGTGAAGGCAACCGAAAGGACAAGTTCAGGTACAAAAGTGGTGTGTCTGAAAACACAGTTCTGGTTAAAAACCGGACTGAATTGTCCACAAATATTCCAGAATGTCAATCTGAAAAGGGCTTTAATGTGATGGGTAACTGGGTGATGATGAAACCAGCGACAACAATCTAAGTGAGGCATCGTCATCTTAATCTGCTCCGGTAGGTAAATGAAATGTTTAAGATAACGTTAGCTTGATATGTTAGCTTCCGTTCCGCTAATGGTGCGTTCGCTTTCTCCTCGGAACTCCGAATTTCCGACTAGAAGAACATGAACGCGCTCTAAAGTTTGGCTTCACTTTACTAAATGTGACAGGTGATTGGGTGAAGATGAAACCAGCAATAATGATCTAAGTGAGAGGCATCATTGTTTTAATCTGCTCCAGCAGCTAAATAAACTCAAGCATATGCTGTCCAGAGCCCACCTGGAGCGGGTACTGCATGCCTTTGTAATTTCTAGGCTTGACTACTGCAACTCTCTCTACGCAGGGTTGTGTCAGTCATCACTGTGTCGCCTACAGGTTGTGCAGAACAGCGCAGCAAGGTTCCTGACTGGGACCAGGAAACGGGACCACATCAGTCCGGTTCTGGCCTCCCTGCACTGGCTTCCGATTTGCTATCGCTCACAATTCAAAATCCTCGTCTTTGTTTACAATTTCTTCCAGGGTAGTGCTCCCCCCATCTGGCCACTCTCCTGAACAAACACTCCCCATCACGCGCTCTGCGCTCCTCTGACCAAGGCCTGCTCGCTGTTCCTCGTTCTAGGTGTCGTACCCGTGGGGACCGGGCTTTCTCAGTCCTAACACCGTTACTCTGGAACAAGTTGCCACCCTCAGTTAGGCTGTCCCCATCTCTGCCAGTCTTTAAGAATCTCCTAAAAACACACCTCCTCTGCTTGGCATTTCTAGCACATCTTTGATTTTGGCCCTCTTTTATGTTGTATTTATTTCACAGTTTTCATTGGTTCACTCAATCCATCCACTCAATCCAAATGTGTTTCACACATTTGTCCTGTACCAGAATGTTTCTTCTATCTTGTAATTTCTATTTTGTAATTTGAATTGCTTTTATTGTTGATTTATTCAATATATTTATCTACAACTGTACCATGTTCAGCGCTTTGGGCTCCCTGACAGGGTTGCGGAAGGCGCTTTACAAATAAAGCTTTGATTGATTGATTGATTGATTGATTGATTGATTGATTGATTGATTGATTGATAAACTGTTTAAGATAATGTTAGCCTGATAAATTAGCTTCCATTGCCACCATTGTTATCAGGTATGGTGCGTTCGCTTTCTCCTCGGAAATTCTAACTTCCCAGTAGGAAAAATCAAATGAAAAAGGACGGTAAAAGGAATGAAGATACACAGTAAATTTAGTTCACAGTAAAGATGTTTGCTTCAGTTTAATTATCAGCATATAAAACTACAAGGACAATGTTAAAATACAAACAGTTGTTTATTATTTATCGTGATATTTATCAAATGTGGTTATATATTGAGAAAAATATATATTTAATTATAAAAGAGAATTTAAATATTAAACACTCAAAAGTATCTAAAATTGGTACCGTTAAGTACCGGTATCGATTCCTAGGTACCAGAAATTAGTACCGAATCAATTCAAATGTCAAAGGTATATAGTTGTAAGGCACATTGGGGGGTTTTAGGACTCTAGAAGGCACAATATCAAATACAGGCCATTGTGTTGTGATCTTGATTAGAGGATTTCTATTGGAAGGAATCACAAACTTAATAAACAAGTTCTTTATTGTTTGGTCTTTGTAGGTGTGGTTTTTAGTTTGTTATTGTAAAACAAACAAAACTGCAGAAGAACGAATAAAACAGGAAGCGTTTCATGATGAGACACGGGTTTTCAGAAGCTAAACTTTGATCTTTCATCGGACTTTCAGACACACCAGCTTTACCGTTGCACAACCACTTCTCCTGGAATGTGATTCCGCTGGAGGGACCAACCGCTTTTTCTAATTCTTCATCTGAAAAACATCCCTCATGGAAAAGGTGAGTTTACATCTTTGCGCTCGTTTAACCTCGTGAACGTTTAGACCCGTTCTGGCTCGGTGCGGTTCTACCACCCACCTGAAACCAGTCCCGTTACGTCTTTGACCCTGACATTCACAGAGTCCACTTTGCTCTGAGTGATCCTGTTGTTTGGCTCATCAGAGTAAAGTACTGGAATAAAAACCTCTTTCACAACATTAGAACTAAATGTCACGAGCCTTTAAAAGCTGCGCTGACATCAGTTTTATCTCCCTCCTCACCTCTCCACGGTGAAAGCCGTGATAGAGCATGAAGACACGTTGATTCCCAGGTACTGCAGGTAGGTGATGCCCAGACACCCGGCGTGTCCATAAATCCAGGTCCCTGTCAGGCTGTCGGATACGTTGGGGAGCCCCGCCGCCACCAGAACTGTCAGGTCGGCTATGGCCAGGCTCACCAGGTAACAGTTGGTGGGAGTCCTCATGTGGCGGGTGGTGAGGACCACCACGACAACCATGATGTTCCCCACAATCCCGACGCCACAGACCAGCAGGACCAGGAATACCGACACCGTCTTGTACTCCAGAGAGTCGGAGACAGCGACGCTGGGGCTCAGGGAGATGTTGGTGGGGGCGTCGCTCCTGGAGCTCAGGTTGTTGGTCATTTCTGCTGACGGTTGTTTGTTAATCAGAGATGAAGGGAGAAATGAGGCCTGTGAGTCCAAACCATCGCCATGCTTCTTCTGTTTTATTGCGTTGCATTTAAAACCAGAGTCTGCATATCCATCAAAAGCAGCTGCTCAGATGAAGGAGCACAGCTGGCGTTCTTGGTCTACAGCTTCAATGCTCCTTCTGCTCCTCCGATTACCGTCGACAGACATTTAGTCCGAACACCAGTCAGAGCATCCATGAGTGACCTGGAAACAAAAAAAAACACAAACTATTATTCTTACGGTCCGTTTCTCTGTGGCTCTTCTTTGTTCTGAGCTCCTCGGCCTCCTCATCGAGCTCCCAGGGGTAGATGTTGGGATAAACACACATCCCCGCAGATGATCCCAGATTTTAATCGTTACATGAAGACGCTCCTAAGAAACCACGCTGGGATATTTGTAACTATCAGTGAAAATGCAGTGTTATTATTATTATTATGTATATGTATTACATTATTATGTCATCATGATCTGGATCACAGGGATCCAGCTGGTTGTTCACGGAGAGGTTTGTTGTTCAGTTTAATCTTTTTATTTGTGACACGCTCTGAACTTTGGGAGGACAAACGTTAAAACAGCAGCTTAGTTCCTGTTTAATGATTCGGATCGGATTCAGCACATTATTCAGGTCTACAGTAATTATCGTTACCTGATGGATCCAACGTGATTCGGAGAGATTTCCCTCTAAAAGAGGCCATTAGTTATTGAGGGGTGCACACATTCAGCATCTTCACAGGCTGGAATCTAAACGATGACTGTTATTGACTTTCTGACAGCCTCAGACCCTTTCTGCACTCTCTCACCGACTCTCATTGTCTCCATTTGCAGGGTCACTACTCACCAAATGGATTTTCCTTTTCACTGTTCTCAGTAGCAGCATCTTTGCTTCAGGAAACCGGTTTGAATACCAACAAGTTTCATGTTAACGTCTGACCTGCCACAGCCAGCCCAACGAGTCTGACTAAAAAAGGCTTGGTTGTGTTTAGAGTCCAGCAAAAAGCTTCGTCCTGTGACGAAGAGCAGGTTCAGATGTCCTGATGTGATGCTAAACCTTTGTGGCTGATCCTAAAGAATTACAAATAAAACCTTTGGTCTTCATTCTTAACAGTCACAACAAAGAATCACAACTTTACCTAAACATTTGCTGCTCAGTGGCAAGAAAAGGGAGGTCACAACAGCAAAGGACAGAACACACCCCGGGCTCAGAACCACAACAAATTAGCTTCTAACTGTGACTTTAGCTGGTTAAACACGCTTTTCACTGTTTTTATATACTTTTGCAAAATTTTATGTGGTTTTCATGGTTTCACTTGCACATGTTTTATGTATTTTGCACAGTTGTGCCTACACCATTCTGTAAACTTTGCTGTTTTCCTGTGTTTACACTGTTTTTACGTATTTTGCACAGTTTATACCAGCCCTTTGACCTACAGGAGAAACAGGAGAAACTAGAATCTGGTGCAAAAGTCCATTAATGTCAGTAATCCAGCTCAGACTGAGAGACCCTCTAAAGGCCCAGAAACCCTCCGCAGCTGTTCTGGATTCATCAGCTGATCAGAGTGTGACACTTTAGATTGTTGAACCTTTTCACATCATTCTTACTGTCAGTTATAATAAAAATGGCTGAAACATCTGGATTTGCACGGAATGAGCCCGTCTCATAGATTAGTTTCACATTTTAGGTTCAATTACTGACATTAATTAACTTTTTAACTGGACTCTAATTTTCCTAGTTTCAACTGTAAATCGCACATTTTGAAAATCTGAGTGAAATTTTACTGTATTATATTTTTGTGACCGATCCTGATGACTATTTTCAACTAAATTCATGAAACTGCAACACAAACATGAATTTAAATATTTGTGAAATCGATGGCTGTGATTGCCTTGTTAACGAGATATAAACCACTGATAGGAATGGTCTTTTTAGCCACCACGTGGTGGAAAACTTGTATGGGAGTCTGCATCTTTAGTAAGCTTTGGAATTCTTCTGGGAAATCCTCTAATGGACTCCTGGAATGCTCACTGTGGAAAAGTGCAGCAGCACAACTGGAATAAAACCCTTTTAGAAACATCTTATTAATATTTACGACTGATGCCTCAACAGGGTTCAGGGTAACAAGAAAGGGATTGAGTTTCGTCGCTGAAGACGAACAAAAATGGCTGAGTTAAAGCTGAAGCGTCCGATTGGATGGACTGAATGGAATAAGAATCTCGGTCTTTACAGCCTGAGGAATAATTACGGCACAGTGTAACTCGCGTTTCAGTGTCCAAGTCGCGTGAGAGAGGAGCGAAGCTGCTCCCTCGCTCGCAGAAGCAGACCTGGATGGATGGACCGACGATGCGTTTGGCTGAAACCAGCAGATTTCTCTGCGTTGGATAAATGAGAAATGTTGTGTTTTTTTTTTTTTTTTTTTTTGTTATCGGGGTAAAATGTGTAGTTGAGCCGTTTGTGGTCTGATTGTGTTGTCATTTATAAATCAAAGAGATTCGTCTTTTCACTGAGTCAGTTTAGTTAGCAGAGTCCTGCAGGTTTTAAAGTCAGAGCTGCTAAAAGCTTTAATGAGATCCACGACGGCTCCTCATTAATGGGCAATATTCAAATGTTCCGTTCAGGCATCTGGAGCGCTGCACTCAGAGCATTAAAACACCTCACCGGTACATTAAGATCATTTCAACAGAATAATCTGACAAAACAAAGAAAGGTGTCTGCTTGGTTCACGTCTCAGAATGCTGCCTCCCAGTGCCTCCCAGTGCCTCCCGGGGCCTCCCAGTGCCTCCCAGTGCTTTCTGGTAAAGTTCCAGCCCCCGTTCTCAAAGCCCGGCAGCCTGATTAAAACCATTTTTCTCTCTCTAAATACTTGGGAGGGTTTTCAGCTTATTGGAGAACAAAGTGTTTCTCATTTAAAGATTCCTAACATTTGCTTTCAGGATTTTTACGTAGCTGAAAGCTGATTAACCAGCGTGCAACACTTTGAAACTCTGCAAGGCTTCGATTGCACTTTTCACTTATCTCTCAGCCCGAAGGCACTCACACAGATTGGACGTCCCCTCCTGAGGGCTGCCTCTAATAAATTGAGGTGGATGTGAAATGAAAAGTAATCTAGTTCCTCTATTCTGCCGTCAATCAGACTGCCGCCACTCTCTGTTTCATTACACGTGCACACGAGGTGATTTCCTTTGCATTCCTGGCGCTCGTCACATTTGGCAGACTGAAGCCTTCGGAGCGTTTTCTGGCTCCGTCTGTTGGAAGCTTGTTCTACAAATACAGATCAGAAGTAGGCAGCTGTGATAAGTGATGGAGTCTTGTCTCATTTTAATTCATAACTGGATGCAAACACAGTAAAATAAAGTTTCACACAAGGAAATGTGGTCTGTGAAAAGCCTCTTCATCACAGGTACAGGAAGATTGAAGAGAATAATAATAATAATATTCTGTCAGCAAACATCTGTCCAGTTGTCTCCCAGGAGGACGGAGAGGGAATGGTGTCTTTGGAGGACAGAAGAAGAAAAACACATCTTCATCCACAGAGGAGGGAGGAGAAAAAGCTAAAAGGCTGAGAAGCTTCATGTAGAGACCAAACAGCTGGAGGTCCAGAAACATCTGGACTTCTGTGGACCAGGTTGTTCCTGAATGGTTGATGGACAAAGCTAATGAAGCCCTGTGGATGGGCTGGTTCTGAGTGACATCATAGTTTATGGGTTAAACCAGGGTCACACAGAAAAGGTCACGCCCTAAAACCTCATAATAGAGTAAATGATGATTTAATTAGCTGGAGCAAGTAAAAAAATAAAAGATCTAAATGGGTTTTATCCTCTGATGGGCCATTCCCATCTGTACCGGGTCGGCCTGGGCCGGGTAGCGTAGGTTGTTTACATATCTGGGTGGCCTGGTATTTTTCCGGGCCAACCAAGGCTCATTCTCAGCCCTCTTCTCGAGGGGGTCTGCTTCAGGCCGACCAGGGCCAACACACCCACTGCTGACAGCAAATTCACACCTTCCATTAGAGCAAGCCTCTGATTGGTGGGTAGAATCAGCCCACATGGGCTTAAGGCAAGGATGTGTGGAATCAACCGGGCCAGGCTGGGGCCGACCGGTGCTACCCGGCCCGGGCCGACCCGGTACAGATGGGAATGGCCCATAAAGCGCCGAGCCTGGGTTCTGGCTCCAGCCGCTGCTCCTCCACATCGAGAGGTCAGGTGAGGTGGTTCCTGTGGCCAGGATGCCTCCCAGAGGTGGAGACCCTGAGGTCAAGCCAGGACACTCTGGAGGCTGATCTAGGAATGCCTTGGGAATCTCACCAGAAGAGCTGCAGGAAGTGGCTGGGAAAAGGAATTCTTGCTGAGGGTTGTTGCCTCCGAGTCCCGCGTTAAGTGGAAGAAGAAAAATGATGTTTTGCTAAAAGTAAAAACTAAAGATATTCTATTTCTGTATAATCAGGTCTTTAACTGGCTGAACTAACTCCACCTGATGATCCGACAGGAGGATCCATCAGGAATCGTCTTCTGCTTGGCCTCATCCCTCCCACATGGTTGTGGAGGAGTTCTGGTCCACTCTTTTGTATGTTTGTTCTGAGTGTTACATCCTAATCCATTACTTTGCTCTCTTTTAACCAGTGTTGGGCAAGTTACGTCTAAACTGTAATGCATTATTTATTACTTGTTACCCTCATTTTAAAGTAATTCATTACATTACAAGATTACTGATTTTAAAATGTAAGGCATTACACTACTTTTACATTACTCTAAGTTACTTTTAACAAAACAACTTCAGTATGAATTTGGTAATCTGACACCCGTTGAACTCATGACACATCCAGTGGAAGGTGATGTGGTGTCTGAGCTAGTGTTGCTGTTAAAAACAGTTCTTTAGAATGATTGTTTATTTAAAAAAAGCAACAACAAACTGTACTCTCAGCACGCTGTCATCTTATATTAACTGAGCAGGGAGTGAGGTGGTGGGGGCTCCAAGCCAATTTAGCCTTGGTCTCCAAATGCCTTGATACGGCCCTGGATGTGGGACTGACGAGGGTGATCTGATTCTATCACATGTATAAAAATTAAATGCTTATATATTATTGCTTTTCACTGGTAAAAATGTGTATTGGGGATAAATCTACCTAATTTTTTTCTTTTCAAGTACTTTTGTTTTGTTTTCTTGATTTTATTTGAATAATTTCCTTTCCTTTCTCTCTAACCTTCCTGCATGCTGCATCTTTTCTCCGTCTTCCAGAAAAACCGTTTCCTAGATTTCCTACTTTCTAACTAATCAGCCAAAGGGATCTTAACATGCGATGCGCTCCAGCTGCAATGAGTTGAAATCACAGGGGTACAGATTAGGAACTCAGCTGAGGCAAAGCACGTCAAAAAAGTACAGAAACTACCAGAGAATATGCGCCGATATGAACGATCGCAAGTGAATTATTTTGTTTTAGTGGAGCGATTTTGTGAATGTGACAGCGGCCGCGTGCAGGACGCAGCTGCAGTATTTGAGCCGTTACCGCTGCGTCCTCTCTGCCCGCAAAGCTGAGTCCATAAATGACGTAATATATGCAGATACTGGATCTTTTTTCGGGCTTCCAGCAACTGGAATTTTTAAGAAACGCATCTTGATTCTGGGTTTAAAAATGCTTTGTAATTAGCACGTTACTGACAATTGTACCGAGTAAATATTACCATTTTGTTTCACTGTAATGCCTTACATTACCGCATTAAAGCAAAAAGCAATGCATTACAGTAATTAATTACTTTTGTACCGCATTAAGCTTGGTTTATGCTTGACGTGTCTGCGAGGTTTGCACGGCTCTGCGCGGCAAAATTGCGTCATTTTAACAACCACGCCCCTCCACCGCGCCTCCGCACGGCCCAAACTTTCCGCACCGCGCACCTAGGAAATTTTCTAACCAGTCGGACAACCGGATGCGGAAAAACATGGCAGACTGGCAAGAACTAGTATGGCAGAGGTTCGTAAATACAGACATTTGTATGATTCAGCTCTCAAAGATCACCGTGATCAACATGTAGTTAATAATTCTTGGAGAGAAATAGCTCGCACTGTCGGAAAAGACGAGGACGCTGTTAAAAAATGCTGGAATGCCATGTTGTAAACAGTAATTTTTACTTCTACTATGGTGTAGTGTTGGTTGCATGCCGTAGAGCTCCATGCTGCCCCCTACAGTTTGGGAGAATATCAGCTCACCGCAGAGATAAGCTGCATGAACCATAAACGCTGCGAGTTGTGAAGCGAGCTCCATCCATGAGCCGCATCACCAAGCAGAAAGTGAATGCGTCAAGCATAAAACAAGCTTTACTCCCAACACTGTTTTTAACAGCTTAGTGAAAAAAAAAACTTTTTTTATCTGACTTTTTCCAGCTAGTGCCCTAGCCATCATCGGAGTTTGCCTGTGTCGGTGGCATCACTTCCGTTTGCCCGGTTCACTCGTCTCCACTACGCTGCTTCAGGTCATTGAGGTTTGTTTTTGCTCCGGTCTCTGAAGGTCCAGCATATCAGCCTGTCTGAGCTTTGACCGGACCGTTCTGTTAAAGATCACCGTCCCGTTCCGTGACCCGGTTCGGTCCGAGCTTCAGCTGTCGAACAGATGGCCTCTTGTGCCACTTTGGAGAATTCCATAGAGGATGGGCTCAGATTTTCACTTCCTGTTTCTGTGTTCTGGTTTAGTTTTTGTTGAACAAATAACATCCCAGCGGGATTTCTGCTGTCGTCCATCCGAGGTTTTAATTTATCGTTTCAGGATTGTTGTTCCAAATAAAGAAAAGATCTTTTCCACGTGAATCCCTCATGCTGCAGCCAGAGGTTGTGGGGAATATTATTCAAGTTTGTAATTTTAATCTTGATGCTGAGAATCAGACTGAGATAAAACAGCTGACTGTTGTTCACAACAGCAGGTGTTTAGCTTTAGTGCATGACTGCATCACTCGTGATTACCTATTCTGCAAACAAACACCACAAAGCTGCTTTTCTTTACTCTCACCATGAAACTTGTTGTTCAACGTCAAATATAGAAGCAAACAATCTCTCAGGATTTAAAAAATGGACTCAATCTGTGGATTTATAAGACATAAGAAAGTTTTCTGCTCACATTGATTCATTTGTTTGCCTGTTTGAGTGAAATGGGGTAAAAACAGACTAAATTATGAGATGTTTGTGTTTTAAGATGTAAAGCTAAAGGACTTTTGGAAAATCTGAGTGCTTTGATTGGAGAAATAAACTCATTTTGGTCATTTTAAAGTTAAAAGGCAGTTTTTTTTAAGTAAAGATGTGAGAATCTGCTATAATTCAGCAAAGGGGAGACAGATTTGGATTACTTCTGCAGTTTTGGTTGTTGCTTTTTTACTAAGCAAAAATCTTTAAATGACACCAAGATGCTTTTTTGATGGAGTTTATTTACAGTCAAACATAAATATGGAGTTGGTTTTAATTTCTGCTTGATTAACGAGGCTTTTTAAAGTTCCCAGGAATAAAATCTGGTTAGAGAAGCTCTGGGGAGCGAGCGAGCGGACGCGGCAATCCCAGAAAAGGGTTTGTGAACCTGCAGCTGCTGTTCTGATCAGAGCTGAGTGACACGGTGGCAGCTGGCTGCTCAGTCAGCTCTGATCAATGAGCACAAAGTCTGTAATAAAGCAAGGAAAGCCACCGCTTCATTTTATTTGTTCAGTCGTTAACAGAATCTTCTAAGGTCGACACATTTTCTGAAATTTGGAAATGGCAGAAAACTGTTTTGTTCCTATTTAACAAATCAGTAAATATAAAATCAAGCTGCTTTTCATTTGTTTCCACTTGTTTAAATATTTCAGCCTTTAACTGGCCGTAAACTTCTAAATCGCTGTCCAAGGAGAATGAAATAAACTCACCTTGGGAGCCTCTGCAGGGTTTCAGCTTCATCCAGAATTTCCTTTAATCCCGTTTGTCATCTGAAAGTAAGAATAAATTTCTCCTCCTGCGTGTCGGTCGCTGTTTGGAGCTGCCAGGCTGCAGAGCCATGCTTTAACTGTTGTCTATATGATGTGCACACACACAGAGCGCTGCTACTACTGACTCAGGGCTGTCACACACACACACACAAGGCAGTGCTAGGGATTTCAGAATAAAAGCACCAGTTATTTATTTCTCATCAGAATGAAACAGCAGGATCATTCAAAGTTTTAAGGTGGAAATTAAAAGAACGCAGAGTCACTCACAAAACAGAGCATTAAATCAGATAAAAATACTATTTCTAACCAAAAAATAAATAACGTGTTTTTTTATCCTCATATTAGAATCTTTTGAGTTTTGTTGAATCAGAGGACCAATCCAGACGCTCTGTAAAGTCACATGATGGTGCTGCCACTGCTCCTCAGAAAAGCAGACTCAGGTCACTCTTATTTCTTATTTGCTCTTAAATACACCAAGAGTTGGTTCATCATTAATAAACTCATGTTATTAAAATATATCTAAAATGTGAGGAGCTGCATGCCAACATGACTCACTGAAATATAAGGAAACAACAAATAACCACCTTTAGGATAATGAGGGCCCATTAGCAGACATTTAACTTTGTTTTTTTAGTTTAAGAAGTTCTTGTGCAACGACAAGTAAAACCTTGGATTAAGCAATGAGGGACAAACAGAAAACTAAATGGCCATTATTCATTTATTTCACTGTTTGTTTGGTGCCTTAACTCATAAGAATACTCCAAAAAAAACATCACAATGCCATCGTTTATTTATTTTAAAAAACAAAAATATCATTTCTACACCTGATGATTCCTACAGTAACTCAACAAAAGCTGCATGGGGGAAACTATTTGTCCAGGCTCAGAAACAAGCCACTGGCTCGCTCCATCTGGTCCTTTCAAGTCCTGCAAGGAGATTTTTGGACTACATGGGTTTAGGCTGTCAGAAGCACACTGACCTGTTGGAGTTCATGAGACTGGTTCTGCGGTTCCTCCATCCATCATGCATCAGTTGAATTAAAAAGTCACGTTTCGACTCAGATCGTCCCACAGACACATCACCGGGTCAACGGAGGTCTGCAGAGCTGGACTACCATGTGCGTTGGGCCAGCTGCTAATAGATAATCCCCTTGATGGTCCATCTGTCAAGTCGGACCTCAGACAGTGAGATAATTAGCATCTCTGCTGTTTGAACAGGAGATGCCTCCACAAGCCACCGACGGGGCAGTTGTCTCACATCGGCCCTCGGTGGATTAACAAAAAGATAAATAGCTCCACATAAAAGTGCCACCAGCAGATGTTCTCCAGAGAAGAGATTCAGCGCTGAGCAGCACCGATCGTCTCAGATCTGCAGTCAGAACAAAAAAAGACCTTCTCCCACCACTCAGGCTGAAGGACACACCGGACAGTTTTCTGTTTACCTCTGATTCTTCCATCTGCTGCATCTGAGAGGTTGCTCTGATTATTCTTCTCAATCCAAACAGCTGAAGCTGAAGAGCTCAGCAGGTGCCTCGAGGGAATGCGAGACCCCGAGGAGTGATGGATGACGGTGCAGGCCAGACTAACAGCTCCACAGTGTGAAGAAACGATCTGGAACAAATACCTAAAAATATTTCCTCAGTGGCCTCGGTTATTAATGACTGAAGTGTTAAACTGTTGACAGAAGCCTACAGAGGGGAGAGACTAATGAGTGAAAGCAATCCCAGAAGTGAAAACGGGAGACGTCGCTGCCTTTCAACTTCAGGATCCAGTTCTCTTCAAATCCATCACCGCAGGTCGTCTGCCCTTCAGACGTAAATAGAGGTGTTTTCAACCGAGCTGCAGGTATTCTACAAATGTCAGGCATCAGCTTTAGACCCACATGGTGTCAGCGGGCGGTTAGACACCAATGTTTGTTAAAGTGTTTTCATGTATTAGTGGCTCAGCGGATTTAGAGTTCTGTTAAACTGTCAACAATACTCCGTTTGGTTCCATCTCCTGATGGAAACTGACTAAATATTTATTTCTACAATTTATAAACAAGTCAATTTCCACTGATGATAATATCATTACCATTATTATTATTATTATTATTATTGTTATTATTATTATTATTATTATTATTATTATCAGTGGCAGTAGTGGTATTGTTATCATCTCTGGTCAACTCAGTGGTGAATCTAGAATTTTCCTATCCAGGGGCCTTTTGGGGGCCACACAAGGATCCAGGACCCTCATCGGTCAACATTTGGTGTTAAAACTTAACTGTAAAATGTTAGTGGAGTGTGAAGTGGTGAACATGCTACTTCCTGCAGTCAAGAATCAATCAAATCAAATTAAATCAGAGATAATTTATTAATTAAAAGAAGAAGAATTTTTTTACTTATTTCAAAATTGTTTTATTAAATAAACCTTAAAGATGGATTTTGCTTTTGCTTTCTGAGTTTCACTGTTGTAAAAAAAAGACTGTAAACATGTACTCATCTGTAAATAAAATAATAATAATAATAATAATAATAATAATAATAATAATAATAAATCTGGGATTGAATGGAGAAATAGGGGCCGGTCAGATTTCAGGGACTGGTGAATCTCTCGTCTCAACCCTCCATCCTTTCTTCAGTTTATTTGCTTCTGTGAAGAAACTAAAACCAACAGACACCCAAAACAAAACTGAACATTTTATTTTGAAAATTTTAGGAGGAATCTGAGTGTGTCCTCTTCTCGAGGTTGATGTTTTGGCCTCCCTGTGGCTTCTCTGCCAAAGTTCGTCACTGCTGTCAGACCTCAAATGTTTAACAGAAGCAACTCTTACTCCACACTCACACACTCTCACACACACACACACACACACACATACATAAACACACACACACACGCACACGCACACACACATACACACACACACGCGCACACACACATGCACACTGTTACCTGCAGGATGTTTCTTGCTTTGTGTGTTAGACACACTTTAAATGCATGCCTGCACAAACCCTTTGGCTTCTGAATGACACAACAGATCCAATAAACAAAAGCAGTAGAATCTGCAGACCTGTAAACAAAAATGAATAGTGTATTATTAAAGTATTTCGATTGTTAGAGAACAGATCTGCATATAGTTTATTTCTTCCAACCGATGGACCTTTTTTATTTTTTGACATTCATTTGAATGTATAGTTTTTTATGTGAATTTAGATGATTTACCTGATTGTATGCAAAAATAAAAAAAGTTAACTTCTAATAGGCATCTATCATTTCTTATCAGAATGTGGCCATTTACACACTTAATTACAACTTAAAGAAAGTGGTGTTCCTTTTGTTCATTTTTAAGTAGAAATTATTTCTATTAATGTTCCAAAGGGTTGGAGAGGAATGTCTGGCCACGAGCTTTTATAAACTCTTTCATCTGTAAGAAGCAAAGCAGCCATTTAGAGCAAAGTCAATGTCGCCATCTAGTGGCAACGACTTGAAAAAGCAACTGGCAGGTCAACATCTTGGTAGCGCGTTTTATTTTTTATCAAAAATGTGCAACTAAAAAATTTGCTAACAAAAAAATCGAAAATATATGGAGATGTTTCAGTTGAAATGTATATTATTACTTCATGATAATATTGACTTAAAGTGTTCCTTTTTAAATTATTGTTGTTACCATTGCCCCAAATTCAAAACTGTACAAATGGAAGATTTTTAGTGCTTTTTTTTTTTTGCTCTGGAAATTCAATGGTTAAAGGGGACCTAGAGTGAGATTTATAGTTTATTTTCTGTGCACTTTTTACTTTAACACACATTCGTGTCTATAAACGCTTTGTATATTTTTTTTTACAAAATTTGCATTTTTCAGAACAAAATCTTCCAACTCAGCTGCTGAGAATAAAACAAGCAGAAATAGGGCCCCACCTTGGATACTCATCTACTTTAGGATAGATTTAAAAGATTTTTCATGGGTCTATAAACTCCTAAAAATCTAGTTTCCTTGTATCCCTCAAAGCTTCACATCACTAAGGTCTTCTGAAAGAAGCTTTCCAAAGAAATGATAAAACTCTTTTTTGATTTTACTTCTGTGGAAAAGCTGTTCAAAAAGAAAACTGATTTTTTTAAACAAACTCATGTTCCTCATCTCTGGTGTGACTCATTAAAAAAAGCTTTATGTGTATATATATGTGTGTTTATGTTTTGTTTATTTATTTGGTAGACGCGTTTATCCAAAGAGACTTACAATTTGTAACCTATAGGGCATGTTGTGATCTGTGGGGGAAACCGGAGTACCCGGAGGAAACCCACGCATGCATGGGGAGAACACGCAACTCCACGCAGAAAGGCCACAGATATATATATATATATATATATATATATATATATATATATATACATAAGATGTGTTTATCTTTATTGAACTTTTAGACTGGTCTTTATGTAAATACTAATTTATTTAGTGACTAATATTTGTTCATTTTATCTATCATTGTTTCCCACAAATTAGTTATTTTAAATTTCACCTTCTGCTTACTCATATAATTTCAACCAATTTACTTGTACTTCTAGAAATCTATTATACTCGGGAGCTTGTGGCAGAGGTTGAGCGGTGCCGGCTAGATATAGTCGGACTCACCTTGACACATAGCATAGCGGTCGATCTCCGTCCCAATCCTCACCTATGGTCATGAGCTTTGGGTAATGACCGAAAGAACGAGATCGCGGATACAAGCGGCCAAAATGAGTTTCCTCCGTAGGGTGGCCAGGCTCAGCCTTGGAGATAGGGTGAGGAGCTCGGACATTCGGGAGGGACTCAGAGTAGAACTGCTGCTCTTCCGGATTGAAAGGAGTCAGTTGAGGTGGTTTGGGTATCTGGTCAGGATGCCTCCTGGACGCCTCCCTGGGGAGGTGTTTCGGGCATATCCTGCTGGCAGGAGGCCCCCGAGTCGACCCAGGACACTTTGGAGAGGTTACTTCTCCAATCTGGTCCGGGAACGCCTTGGGGTCCTGCCAGAGGAACTGTTGGAGGTGGCCGGGGAGAGGATGGTCTGGAACTCCCTAGTTGGGATGCTGCCCCCACGACCCGGACCCGGATGAGCGGAGGAAGACGATGACGACGGCTTTCTTATTGGATATATTAAAAATAGTTTCAGAACACTGTCATCAGTTTCTTGAATTAATTAAATAATTTTTAAATAAAGAAAAAATTATTAAATATTTTAAATAATTCTACATCTAATAATAATATAATATAATATAATATAATATAATATAATATAATATAATATAATATAATATAATATAATATAATACAACATAATATAATAATAGTCAGATATCTGATCGTGAATCAGATTGGGTCTTCTCATCCTAAACTCAGAACCATGCTCAGAACTTGACCAACAACTGATCTCAGATCTGCCGTCACTCTACGCGGCTCGTTCGTAACCCTCCGCCTCCTCCTGCCCCGGTTTGTCGTTTGTTAATGACGCTGAGGTAATGGCCGTTTTTCGTGCGCCGTACAGTCTCAGTTCTTTTCCCCGCCACAGCGGCTGAATTAAACTGTGAAATATTGACCTTTTACCGTGGTCAGTGGGAGGGGGTCGTCGTTAACACAGCAGCGCCGTCAGTAAAGAGCTTCCGGTCGGCCAGGTGAATGAGAAATGTGTGCTCTTTAGCTTTAGCCGTTAGCTTAGCTTCAGGGAGGCTACATTGTTAACGGGACAGATGGCGAGTGTTGCGCCGAATCGGCTCGCAGTTGAACCGACAGTGGTGCCTTATTTAAGTCGCTGAGCTCAGTAGTTTAACTGTTTATTATGTTGGATAAGGTTTGCGTTTCGGTGCGGACGGTTTGTGCTCGGTTAGACCGCTGTCTGCGAGTCGATTTCTGGGCCTAGTAGCCATCTAGCGCGACCAGCTATTGTAAGTGTTGCAACCTTCTTTCGCTGCAGGATAACTTGTGAAGCACTGACAGACAGACATGTAACCATACACACCCACTCAGACTCGGTGGTTTAAAGGGTTTACTGGAGTAGTTATGAATAGTAGTGATGTAGCTTCGCCGGAAGCTGGCCTTCATAACTAACCCTTCTGTTATAAGACTAAAGCAATCATATAACTTGTTTGTTGTTAAACGTCACGTGATCAAAATTAGCATGTGCAGCTTTGATGTAGACTAATTCTAGATCTGTTTTTTCAAAATTTCATTCTGTATATTATGTTTACCTCACCTGTACAGATTAAGGCAGCAAGCTCTGAAAAAGGGAGGCAAAAATCCAGATCAGCCATAACATTACGACCACCTGTCTGATATTCAGTGTTTTTGCATCTGTCACAATCCACTCCTTACCTGAATGTCCGTTGTGCAGTCTGTCTCCAACTGTCAGCAGCAGATCATTCGTCTCAGAAGATGTTCTTTTGTGTGTCTTCTTTAACCAAAAGTCCCCCCAGATGCTCCATTGGACTGATATCTGATGACTCTGAATTTCAGGATGTAGGCCTAAACTCAACAGGCTTCATCTCTTTGAGCCGCAGCATCTCTCCTGTTTACGGGCAAGACGTCTCTGTGTGCATCTTCGATTACCCATGATTGAATTTCTACTTAAGCCGTTTTCCTTCTTGGACCACCTGTTGCTGTTCCTGAATGCTAAAGACCAGAACCATTCCACAGAGCTTTAGTTCTGATGTTAGGACCTAGCCATCTAAACATCACAGTCTGGTTCTTTTTTTTAAGCCAGCAAAGTCCTTGCATCATCCATTTTTTCTGCCCCCAGAAATTTCTCTTGCTGTTGGATTAATTACACTGCCTGAGTTTTTATCTCACCTGTCAGTGGTTTAGATGTTATGGCTGATCATTGTTTCTGCTTTCAGTGTGGTTTCTAGATTACAGCTGTTTGTATAATAAAATAAAATGTTTCCTTTTGTCACCAGAACACTGTTCAATGGATACTCCTGAAAGCCCTAGGCAGTCTCCTCAGTCACCAGAGGAAGAGGAGGAGGAGGAGAAGGGCCTTTCTGACAGTGAGTTGCTGCAGTGTCCAGATGAAGAGGACGATAGGGTCGTCTCAGATAGCGAGTTACTCCAAGAGGAGGAAAATGGAGGTCTGTCTGAGGAGGATAACACAATGGAGGGCCGAGGAGGAGGCTTGGACCTGGAGGATGAGGTAGTCCCTGACTTTGTCTCTGATCCAGAGGATGAGCATCCTGTTGTAGAAACAGAAGGAATGGGACAAGATGATGAGACCATTGTACTAATGGAGGGAGATGATGATGTTCCTCAAGGGCAGCAGTTAGATGAAGATGAAGACAGAGTTATCGACATGCCACAGTCTCCTGACCTAGAGCCAGAGCAGGTCAAGTACTTCAACAACTCTGAAGAGGATGGAGAGGATGGATATGACGATTATAGGAATGATGTCTCCACCGCACAAGAAGCAACTGAAATGGGTGACGATGAGGAGGAAGATGAAGATAAAAACCTAGTTGAGGAGGATGAAATGAGAGCTGAAGAGAGGAGAAGAGCTGCGGCGGTGAGGGAGATGAAAGATGACTCTGCCTCAGTTTCCCGTGAGTTGGATGAACATGAGCTGGATTATGACGAAGAGGTGCCAGAAGAGCCCAGTATCCCTGCGCACGACGAAGAGGAAGATGAAGACGACACAAAGGGAGATGCGGGAGAGGAGGAGGAGAGCAAAAAGGAGATGAAACGAATCCTTCCTCCATCTCCGGGAGACAACGAGTCAAAGAGAACTGCTGAGTCAAAAGGACCTGAGAGGCTCCGCAGGGATTCCTTCAGAGACAAGAAGAAGGAGGAAGATGATGGAGAGATCGATGAAGGAGAGATTGACGTAAGTCATCTTTGACTACTTATTTATGCAATTTAAAGGCTAAAGGGTTTGGAAGTTCAAGTTCATTAAATAACCGTTTCAATAAAGCTAGTTAATTATGAACTTCATCTGAAACACTATCTAGAGCTCGTTTGGCCTCCCAAATTCCACTTTTTCTTGTTATTTTTCTAGTTTGAACATTTTGTGATCTAAAATGTTTATTCAGAAAAACCTGATTCAAGCAGAGAAACAATTGTGAAAGGAGAAAACAGCAAGTGGATTTCAGAGCTGGTATTCAGTGACGAGTGGGTGGAGCGTCACGTGTTGAGTGGGGAACAGGAAGTCTCACCTGTTTGCAGGTGTGTGGTAAATTCCTCAGATGATTTACTGAGTTGTTT